GGTGTAAAGGTTGAATCATTAAGTGATTGACTGAGCAACAAACAAAAAGTGCTCGGCGTGACTACAGTAAACTCCCTGTGGTCAAAATAACATCCAATAATTAATCACCTCTTTAGTTTTACTGTGTTCATCAGCAGCACACTCACCTATGCATGGCAGTGTGTTCTCCATGGTCCACTGCATTTTGTGATTTGTCTCTTTGAAGGTGAGCACAACATCCACCCTGTAGAACGGCTGCACGAGCTGTTTGCTGTCTGCGCAGGGCTGTAAAACAAACCGGGTTTAGATGTTTCACTCTGTCATGAATCCTTATGGGAAAAGACACCCAGAACTAACATCTTAACAAGCTTTAGAAACTATCCCATCTGCAGTGCACAGCAGTATACCAGCAATGGTTTATCTCTTTGGAAAAACATAAAAGCGATACCTGTTGTTTGAGCTCTTACCCTGGTCTGGAGTATTTGGATTGTGGGGATCGTCAGAGTCACAAATTCACTCGTCTCGTTGACGGTGAAGTTTTCTGTCTGGTTAACGGACACGTGGCTGACTGTCAGAGCTTCACTGTCAGAGCTGCCTCGTTTGGTCAAACCCATGCGGCGTTTGAAAATGTGCAGCACAGTCTTCTCTGCTGCGGATAGAATCACTGAAATGTACATCAGGGAAGAATAAATTACTGGGATTAGTGATAAAAAATGACTAAGTACATGTACTCATCTACTATCTCTTGCATATCTATGTATATTTTCAGGTGCTTGCTTTAATGCTACTTCATGCAGGGAAATAGTACACGCTTTACTCCACTACAGTTGTCCATTAGATACAGTACCTATACTGCACCTATATTTTAGATTATGAGCTCAGAATAACACATATGAAAAGCTCAAAAAATACAGTTCAGGATAAAATCAGTGGCTTCCAGCCTTTTTAATTGGTGACCTTTTACAAAACAGCAGCATCTACGTGAGGCCCCTCAAAACCTCTATGATGATTTCATTGAAAGGTCCCATATTCAACAATTTCCCAAAGGTTTGCACCAAAGGGATCAATAAAGTTCTATTCTATTCTATTCTATTCTATTCTATTCTATTCTATTCTATTCTATTCTATTGTGTGTTGTGTTTGGTAGAAACTTGGAAATATTTGCCGGATGCTGGTACGTTAGTTAGCACCGTAACCAGGCACTTTAATGGCGACAACTCTACCATTTGTTGTCTAAAAAATACTTCCAGACAGCATGCTCTGGATGTGGACGTGATCCAGAACATGTTCACCAATGTCTAGGGTGACCATATTTTGATAACCAAAAACCAGGACACTCGGCCCAGCAATGAGATACTCAAATGATACTAGAAGTTTACTCAAAGATGCCTTATAATTTCAATACATTTAAAGTGTGTCTCCTCCAGGACAGGACCAGGACATTTTCAGCACTTTATAACAAGCAACCAGGACGGCCAGGACAGGACGTGAAAACAGGACATGTCCTGGGAAAACAGGACGTTTGGTCACCCTACCAACGTCACCAAGTCTAATAGGATGAGTGGCAATACACTCCACAAGCAGCATCAACCTCATTAAGTCTTCGCATCTCGTTACTGAATTGTGTTTCTGGTCTATGATCCCGCTTTTCATCTGTCTGTTACCATCCAATATCATATCACTATAGTGCATATTTGGCTGTTTCATAACGTCAATTCTCATGTAGAGATGCTCTGTGTCAAAACAAATAATACTTTTTCCCCTATTTAAAAAAAAAAGAAAAAAGGATTAAATAAAATATTAAGTGCTTCATTTACATTATTGTTTAGTATCTGTTGTTTCCGTGCTTTTACTTGACCAAAGTATCTGGATTCTTCTTCTTTCTGCGTTAAACATGTAAATTCACAGCTTACGATGTTGCAAAGAAAACACCTTCCAGTTCTGCTTCTCTGCTTGTTACTCACCTTCTGGACACGTTGCTTCCATACTGTAGGCATACTGACCCCTGACCAGCTTTAAGGCCAAAAATTCCCCCTCACGTTCCATGATCTGTGTTAACCAAAAAACAAGAAGTCCAAACTACAGCTATTTAGTGAATTTCAGTTGCGATATTGCCATTGGTCACTAGGTGGCAGGATGTTGTTTGTAGTTTCTCACGGTGACTGGACTTAAAATGTCCCTCCTCCTGCCCTGAACTATGATGTCTGTTGCAGTCACGTCGATGTTCATCTGGATCAAGCTGGCGTCCTGCAGCGCTACGATGAGGTGGTTGCTCAGAGACAGTGACCAGTGCAGCTGGAAGTGCAAAACCAAACAAAAAAAGAAACACAAAAACAGACTTATTTGTACAGATTTATAATCAGAATTTCAAGCACTGAATTTAATAACTACCTCATTATCCCAGTTTGAATCAGGAACTTGTCGGATCACCTGAATACACAAAAACACATCTTGTCCAGTATTAAAGCAAAAATAACACTGATGTAAAAATATCACATTGAGTTGAAATAGCATATTAAAACTGTATAAACTCCAGTGTGCTGTTACCTGAATATTCTCGGGGTCACACTGGATTTGCGCTCTGCTCTGGACGGAAACCACAGGACACTTCATAGTCAAACTAAGAGGCCGACCCCTGAACCAACTGATCCTTTTCACTGGATTCAGCGTGAGGACATTAAAGCCATGCTAAAGAGTCAACACACACACAGACAGTTTTCACCATCAAGCCCAAAAGTCAGCATTTGCATACATGGATTAGACTATTTGGTGAAAAATTCACATACCTGTTGCTGGACCAAACATCCGGTGTAGCTGACTGTAAAAATAAAGTTCTTGTCGGGGTCTTTGTGCAGTGAGAATCCACAGGCAGACAGCTGGAGATTTAGGTGATCCAGAGATGCCAGGTTGACTGTGAAATAAAGAATTTGACCTCAAATTTATGTGAACATTTTATCACTTTTTCTGTCAGACAGATTTACCTTGGATCCGTAAAGCCCCAGACAGCCAGACTCCGAGCCCTTCGATTCTTGCACTGTGGATCCACATCTCCATGTATTCAGAAAAACATGTCACATCCCCTTCTGAAAGTGCAAATGTTCTCTCACAATCAGAGTGAAAACACCAGTAATAACTGCAAGTCATCACAGAATGAATGTTTACCTGTTAGTTTTGCTGTTGGAATGTCAATCCATTCTCTTTTCTGAATGGAAAACACATTCCTTGTGATAAGTAACTGTAAAACACTGGAGAAAAGACCACTGATATAAGCTTATATTTGGACAATGGTGAATAATTCAAGTCAAGTTTTGTCTGTTGTACTCACATAGTTCTGAGCAGGATCCTGAATGTGACCTGATCCATGATGAAGTGGTGAAAACTTCAGAGGGCAGTTCTATTTGAAGGTGAGGGGTGAAACACAGGTGTGTTTACTTTGCGTCTTAAGAGGTAAGTGACAAAAAAGGTACAAAGAATTACTGTTTTCTCAACCATGTGGGAACCATAGCTAGTTTAGTGGCTTTAAAACAGTCCCATGCCACAGTATTATTCCATAGGAAATCCCCCCAGACTACACCAAGGGCCAAAGTCTTCTCCATCTGCTGAGGAGACTGAGGTCTGGAGTGTGCAGGACTCTTATAGACACTGTGCATCTGCAGTCTTTTAGCAGTCTTCTGGGAATGTGGGCGCACTGAGAGGGACAGGAAGACACTGAATAACCTGATTAGGAAGGCCAGCTCTGTCCCGGGCTCCACTGAGGAGGTGGATTAGAGGAGGATGTTAGCCAAGCTGACATCAGTCATGGACAACAGCTCTCATCCTGACAGTGAGGGCCTGAAACAGCCCCTTCAGCAACAGGCTGCTGCACCCACGGTGCAAGAAGAAGCGTTAGTGCAGGTCCTGCATTCCTTAAGAAGTCAGACTTTAAATGTGACCATAACATATCGCGATACAGTCACTCTCTTTAACTTTCTAAGTGTAATAACATTATGTAACATCTTTTTTTTCTTTATTCCATTTTTGTAGTGCTTGCCTTCATTTTTATGTAGCAACTGTAATGTGTGAATTTCCCCAGTGAGGAATTAATAAAGTGTATTATTTATCTTTTTTTTGTAAACACATATTCTGTATGATTTTTGCTACTAGTGCATCTCAAACTATTTAATAAAGTTTTTAAAAAGTTTAATATTTTTTGTCAGTTGTTTAAGAAAGGGACATTTTTTTATATATTCCAGACTCATTACACGCAAAGTAAAATGCTTCAAGCAACTTTCAATTTTAGTTTTGATCAATATGTCCCACAACTCAAACCATTTTGTAAAACATTACAAAATATTACAACTACAGTGTTCCTAATATCAAGCCACTGCTGAAATATTTCACTTTATGTGTAATAAATGTAAAATACATGCAAGTTTACTTTTTTGAAATAAATTTTAAAAATATTATGACTTTTTCATGATATTCTAACTGAAATGCATTTGTATGTGAAGCCCACACGGAGCAAAAATATTCAGACCTGTCACCAGTGTTTTTAAAGGTTACTCCACTTCATCAAATACAAATATTTTTGATTACTTGTATGTATTAATTGATGCATTTGGACTCTGTTGTCTACGCTGAAATTATTTTTTATTGTTGAACATTGTGTGGCTGTGTTTATGTGTGTTTTACATGGTTGCCTGGTTACAGACACGCAACTATAATCCTCACAACAATTTGTCAGTGCGCACCTTTCCTCCGGGCTTCAACGCGAATCGCTATGGTTAAACTTCAAAGGGTAGATTTCGAGCACTAAACTCCGCACACTGTACGTTATAAACCGCAACTAGAGCAACACAACTACCCACACAAGGTTTAAGACAAGGCTATAAAAGTTAACCTACAATTGATTGCGTGAAGGTCAGACTCTAAAGTAAAAGTTTTTAATTTGAATTTTGGCATCCCTACAAAAAATAGCAGTGCGCCCTCCCAACTCGATGATGTCATCTCTACAAGGTGAGCATCACCATGAGCAGCCATTTTGTTAGCTAGCTTGAGGTTACAGAGGTTAGCCGTGCGTGTGCCGCTGGAGGTATGTTCACTCTGGTCCGAAGGTTTAAATTTCACAGAATAAGATAACTTGTCACTGTTGTTGTTTACGTACAATTCGCGGCTAGTGCTCGTAAACAAGAGGACGACTCGTGTGTTTGTTGACAGTAAACACAGCGCGAAACTGGATGATCATTCATTTTTCCAGCCGTCTTGAGTTTGCTAGCTTATTAGCTAGCTGGCTAACTTGTTTACCGTTAGCGTTAAAGAAAAACGTGCAGCTTTCATGGCCGTCAGCGATTAAATGTTAGAGAGTTGTGGAGTGGGTGTTTCACTCAGTTTGTCTGCGTGTGACTGCGGTTAGAATTACATTTGCTTTACCCGGTTAACAGAAGTAAACTTCGGCCAGGATCGACGCTACAAACTCGCGTGTACCATTCCGGTGTTTACTAATAACTTGAGCTCCATCAGCTGATTCCACTTGGACCAGCGCTCAGCCATCCTGGACACCATGTCGGAGCTGTACATTCGGGTGGCTGAGGATGAAAACGAAGAGCCCATGGAGATCCCCTCGGAGGACGACGGTACTGTTTTGCTATCGTCGGTAGCAGCCCAGTTTCCAGGGGCTTGCGGGCTGCGGTACAGAAACCCAGAGTCCCAGTGCATGAGGGGGGTCCGGCTGGTGGAGGGTGTCCTGCATGCACCCGAGAACGACTGGGGGAACCTGGTTTATGTCGTCAATTACCCCAAAGGTGAGGCAGGCGTTTGTGTATGTCACTTGCAAGTGTGCAACTCTGTCCTTCAGCATACAGTTGCCAGATCTTGTGTGTGTTAGGGCCAACTAAGGAGGTGGAATACAGCAACTCTGCAACAAACCCCAGTTAGTGACAGATAGATAGATAGATAGATAGATAGATAGATAGATAGATAGATAGATAGATAGATAGATAGATAGAGATCTCATTCATCCCCAGGGGCAAATTCAAGGTATCCTGTAGCTCACGTATATTACATGTAAGAAAAATAAAGTGCAAGTTAAGCTGTAGCTGTTTTTGTGTACATTTTTGAGGAAGGTGATGTTTTCTATGTGTATGTGAGGCTCTATCTTATTGGGAACACCTCTTGGTTCAGTGCAGTCCAGTTCAACAGCACAACAAACTGCAGACGCCAAGCAAACCATAAATGCAGGGCTTATTGTATTGCAGGGCTTATCGATTCGATTAAATTCAGTTTTATTTATATATTGCCAGCTGACACCGTGAATCATCTCAAGGCACTGCACATAGTAAGGTTAAGGCTTTACTAGATTGAATTATAGAGAGAAACCCCAACAAATCCAAAGACTCGAGCTAAAAGAAACGCCAACTCCCCTTTAACAGGAAGAAACCAACAGCAGAACCAAGCTCAGAAAGAAAGAATAAAATTCTAAAACACAAACTATGAGAGAGAAGACACAACGTTAGTGACATGATGGGGTGGTTTTTAAATCTATTACTAGAGAGAAATGGAAGAGAGGAGAGGAGAAGTGCTCAGTGCATCATGGGAAGTCTCTCAGTAGCCTGAACCTACACTGGTTACAGATGGTGATATATGTATGTACCAGCGTATTGCTAATTTATGATGTATTAGTTTGAATATAAATGCTAATGCTGTATCCCTCTATTTTTTTTCTTATCATTTTTTGACAAAATGAGTGCAAGCTGGTATGACGGCATATTATTGCCTTTGAATTTGTAATGGTAAACTCATATATAAGAGGGTCCTCATTCTTTTGTGTTGTTATGTAATCAGAGGTTGTACTGATGTAAGACACAATCTGTTTATTCTCCACAGATAACAAAAGGAAGATGGATGAAATAGACGCTGCCTCAGCTGTGAAAATTAAAAGGGGCTTTCAGAAGACATCAGATCTCATTGTCCTCGGGTTACCATGGAAAACAACAGAACAAGACCTGAAAGATTATTTCAGTACCTTCGGGGAGGTCATCATGGTGCAGGTATTGATGTCTCTTGTGCCTTTTGAATGTTTTGATCAGCATTATTTTTGTTAGGATTTGATTGCGGTAAGAATATAGTTTACATTTTGAACAATAGTATGAATCAGTAATAAAGCTTGCTTACTTGTTCCTCTGTTTACTTCAGGTCAAGAGAGATGCAAAAACGGGCAACTCAAAAGGTTTTGGCTTCGTCCGGTTCACTGAGTACGAGACACAAACCAAAGTCATCGCTCAGAGACACATGATTGATGGTCGATGGTGTGACTGTAAACTTCCCAACTCAAAGGTATGTTGGGCATCATTTTTACCTCTTCATTTTACATAGATCCCTTTAGGTCGAGGATCAGTTGATAAGATTTTGAAGTTTATGTGTACTTTACTGAACTCATTGCAAAAAAAAAAATCATCACAACCATGTTGAATCTGACAAACTGCAGCGACCGTTAAGTTTTATGAAGCCCATCCGTTTTTTGTTCTTTTTACCCTTTTTGAGGTTTGATAATCACCAGATAAGAATTTAGAAATTCTATTTTCACATCATACTATCACATAACTTTAATGTAGACTACAAACACTGATTAGATTTTAGGAAACTATAGCTGAATTAGTCCGCAGCATGGCTTGGAATAAAAATAGAAATATTAATGTAGACAATTTAAATTATGGCTGTGTCTCTTTCTTTGTCCTCTCAGGCGTGTCCTGATGAGCCCATGCGGAGCCGTAAAATCTTTGTTGGCCGCTGTACAGAGGACATGACAACCGATGATCTGAGGCAGTACTTCATGCAGTACGGCGAAGTCACTGATGTCTTCATCCCCAAACCTTTCCGGGCATTTGCATTTGTCACATTTGCTGATGACCAGGTGAGTTTAAACATGAATATATGGCATAGTGTCATGATAATAGATAATATAATAACGAGTGAAAAAGACAGACCCAGTTACCATGTAAATGGAGAACAAACTGTGCAACAAATATTACACATTATCAGCATAGAAATTTAGTGTATGAATGGAATGAAGTAAGTAGCAGCTACAGTGCTTCACTAATTTATTACACCACCTGTCATAAAAATGTGTTTAAAACTAGAAACAATATTGTTATTTATTTGACAAATATCAATCTGAAACAACTAAACAGTCTTTTTTCACACATGCTGACCAAAGAACATAGCATTCTGTGTGGCCTGCTTTGGCCTTGATTACAGCTTGTATTCTTGCTGCTATTGTTTCTATGTACTTTTTGACAGTCTCTGTTGTGACTGAATTCCAAATAGTTTCTAGCTGTTCCTACACACTTGCTTTAGATGAAACTGTTGTGTGATCAATCGTTGAATGTGCTACATCCAAAATTGACTAAATAGGATTCATATCCAGACTTTGACTTGTCCAGTCCATCAGTTCTAGGACTCCAGATCCCTTTTTCTTGGTCAGACAGTTTCTGCACAGCTTTGACGTAGCTTGGCCTCATTGCCTTGTTGCTATATGAACAATGGCCAATCAGATTCAGTCCAGAGGGGATTCCATGATGCACTAAGATGTTGCGGTAGACGTTCTTATTCATGATGCTGTCGTTTTTCACTAATTTGCCCATGCCATTTCCACAAATGGAACCCCATACCATAAATGGATCTCCACCATGTTTTGCTGTGAGTTCAGTGCATCTGGCATCAGAATGTTCTGCAGCTTTTCTGTGGACGTGAACACGACGATGCTGACCAAAGAGTTCAGACTTGGACTTGTCTGTCCAGAGTACCTTGTTCCAGTCATCAGCAGTCCAGTGTTTGTGCTCTCTGGCAAATCTTGAGGCATTTCTGGATGTCTATAAGCCTCCATAATGGCTTCTTAGCAGCTGTTCTTCCCTTTAAGCCTTGCTCCATCAGTCGTCTGTTATGGTCATTCTGGAGACTTTCTCAGACTCTAATCTAGAAACATTCATCTCTGCCTGAGGATCAGCAGTGGTCTTCCTTCTGTCTCTAGTACTTAAGACCTTGAGATGTCTGACATCTGCTTCAGTTAACTTTCGTTTCCTGCCTCTTCCTCCGCGCATTTTGTAAGAACCAGTCTCGGTAATTGACTCCAAATCATCCTTGACCACACTGTGAGAACACTTTATGTCTCAGAGACCATCCAGCATCATGAAGGGCTTTAATGGGCACTCAGCTCTCCATGTTTTACCATTTTGAGCAGGAATGAGATTACAAACTGAATTCTCCTTTTTATACCCAAATGTGAGCTCCTGGGCTTCTCTGAGCAGTCACAATATAAGCAAGCACAACATTCAACAACTAAAACTCATTTTTCTGTTTAGGAATGTAAGTAAATAACTATAATTTGACATCTTAATCAAGAAATAATAATTACTATTTTTTCTGTCTTGTAAAACAATAACTTCATCAATTAATTGATAACAATAATAATTATATTTTAGCATTAAAAACATCATTTCAGTTAAAGAGCTTCTACATACTGGTGTATTAACCATTACAGAGACACAAAAAATGATTTTGGTAATTACCAACACTGTTAATTTAGGACAGCTGTGGCATAAACCTTACATTGGATGGTGGTCTAATAAATGTGTTAAGCACTGTATCACATGACATAGTGATATGTATAAATGTTAGGAAGTTAACAGCACAGACAGTGGTGGTAATTCCCTCCTCACTTCTCTCTCAGGTCGCCCAAGCACTGTGTGGAGAGGACTTGATCATCAAGGGTGTCAGCGTACACATCTCCAACGCTGAGCCCAAACACAATAATAGTAGGCAAATGATGGATCGAGGGCGGTTTGGGGCTGGTGGGTTCAGTCAGGGCTATGGCAGTAATCGCGGTGGGCTAGGCAGCGGTAGCGGAGGGGTTAACTTTGGGGCTCTCGGCCTTAACCCAGCAATGGTGGCTGCTGCACAGGCAGCGCTGCAGAGCAGTTGGGGGATGATGGGCATGCTGGCTAACCAGCAGGGCTTGACCACAACGGCAGGCACAGCCACCACGACCCGAGACCAGACCTATAGCTCTGCCAGCACCAGTTACAGCAGCCCCAGCTCGGCTAGCCTCGGCTGGGCTGCAGGCACTAACACTGCCTCCAGCGGTGGTGGCTTCAGCTCCAGTTTTGGCACGTCTATGGAGTCTAAGTCTTCTAGTTGGGGAATGTAGATAGCTTTGAGTTGACCTTTTCTGTTGCTATTAGGCTAATCTGGTAAGTATACCTACGGGGGGGGACGGCTTATATCTTCTGTTTGTATTATTTAAAAAAAACAAAAAAAATTACACTGCCTTTTATTTTGTTAAAGAGAAATTTATACTTGTGTGTGACTGATTGTATAGTCATGCATTGAATGGGTGAGATGTTGTGTTTGTTAGTGGATACTGCCACACTACCTTGTTTCGTTTTTGAGAATATGTTAAACAAAGATGGCTGTGCATGCAAGATAAATTATTTATAACATGCACGAGTATCTTGAGAGCCCCCCACAGCCCCTTGTAAAATGGGCTTTATATAATTATCTGTATGTATGCATTTGATTGTATCTTTTTGTTTGTTTTTGTTTGACTTTTTTTTTGGAAAAGCCTTCATGAAAAATCTCTTCTGCAGTTCATCAACTCTTTCCCAATTTCCCGGGAGGAAGCGCCTCATTGGCAGCAATGTTCGCCAGATCTCAGTATCAATTCCCCTCCTTCCATGTGTAAATGCTTTGTCATCCAAGAACACAGCTTCACTCTGCATCATGTACTGTGTTAGACGGTGGGTGTTGTCTTTTTCCTCTCCCCTTTTTTTTTTTTTTTTGTTTTTTTGTCGGGATATAGAAATCTTGTCTGCTCTTGTCGCTTTTCGAGATCAATGAGTGGGATTGATGTTGGACCGAGTGAGAGTGAGCGAGCGGGAGAGCAAAATGAAAGAAAGCAAGTGTGAGAAGGACTGTTTGTGCAAAGTTTTTTTTTTTTTCTTTTTTAAAGAGACAAATGCCTGCGAGAGTTGAGAAGAACCTGTGGCTTTGTGCGAGTGTGAGAGGAAGAAGCAAGTACGAGTGTGTTCCCAATGGCCATCACAAGGACATTTTATCGCGTCTCGAGATCCCTATGGTCTCTGCTTTCTCTCATCGTTTTCTATCAACCTTAATTCTTTTTAAAAAAAAAAAAAAGTCACCGTGAAATGTCAAGTGCTATGAGTATTTGTATCCTTTGGTAGCTTTTTTTTCTCTTGCTGTCTGATTTGATGTGAATGCTGCGTCTGGCTGTGTGCTTTATTTTTCTCCTTGTTATCACCCTCTCTGTGTGAAAATGTGACTTTGTGCAGGTGAAGTCTGTGTGGGGGATAAAAAAAACAAAAAAAAAACACTGAAAGCGTGTTGAAGTTTGCAAGTGAGCTCAGAGGTTTGACGTGGTGAATGTTTGACAAGTTCCCATTGAAAGTTTGTTTGAAGTGGTTACGAATGCATTTTCTATGTTTTGTGAATCAAAGGGAAGTCTGAAATAAAAATGAATTTGAATAGGTATGATACCCTCTTTGACAGTGACTTCTTCTTGACTTTACATTAATTGAACTGCCAACACTTTAATTTACATGTATAGGGACTTCGGACACGGAAAAGCCCAGGTTTCATCCCAATCCAGTCAGTTGCACAGAAGACGAAGACATTGTTGGGTGAGCCAACCACAGTGGAAACGCTGCACCAACTGCCTTAATCCTCAAAAGGATCTTCTTCACCTCACTAGCGAGGCACCTTGGACCATTGCAACTTGAAATTTAGAGCGAACCGTACTCAAATATACCCAGCTGAGTTATGTTTTCTTTTAAAAACTTGAAACTGTCACAAATAGGACCCACCAGCGGTTCAGGCAGCGAAACGTGTGAAACAAGTCCTGCATTTTTTTTGTTTGTCAGTAAATGCTTTATTCTTCTACCTCCAAACACTCTGATAACCTGAGAAAGCTTTAAACCTGTAGGTCGTTTTGTCATTGTGGGTCCGTATGTCAGGAAGTGTTCCTGTTACTATTTTGTTTGCTTTCACTGTAAAGCGGCTGAAATGTGTGAGCTGACTGATTTTTAAAGGGACTTAACTGATTGAACATGCCAGCAGGAATCCAATTCACCTTGTGTATTGAAGTATTAGTACACTGCGTTGCAAAATAAAAGTTTGGAGTGTTTAATCCTCTGTGGTCTCTCAATGTAGAATAAGTGTAGTTTTATTTGTGTTTTTTTTCTTAAGGGCTCCACCTCTAGCTGTAGTTTTTTACAGCTTTCCTTGCTTTCAGTTCAGTTTAGCGCCTTTTGTGTAATGTTGTGCTGTAGCATCCTGTATTGTGTAGTGTTGTATGCTGGCTGGTTAGTGTGTGTAGTTTCAATGTTCTGCCTGTTGGTGGTGCTGCTGTGCTATTTTTGTAGTCATATTTTATATTTCTTGAACTTTACTCCTCATAACTTGTTTGTTAGGATTGTGGATTCTTTTTCTCTGTATGTGCAATTTGTTTGCACATAGAGAGGAATCCAACTTGATAATTAGTAGATCCTTAATTCAATTAAAAGTAAAAACTATGTCTGCCACAAACTACATTCCTGACTGGTGATCATATGGAAAATACTTTTGGATAGTAATTTTAAAAATGGGTGTAAAAGGCACCTTTCATCTGGTTTCTGAAAGGTTCTTTTTTATGTGCAATAATTCTTAAACCTAAAAAATATATCAGTTACAAAGACTTGCACACTATTTTCTGTAACATTAAATTAAACGCTTAAAGGGCAAGATGTGAAAAATGAAAGAAAACATTTTGGAAAACCTTTGTAGGATATATTAAGAACTACATTGTCAGTTTTATGATTTATAAATCAGTCCTCTAGTGATGCTTCAGAGGTTCAGGGTCATTCATTTCCTGCATAGCCAAAGATAACATAAAGACAACCATGAGTGACAAAAATGTGTTTTATTTAATGTTTAGAGAAATATTTAAGATTTGAAACCAAAGATCCAGATACATTAATGTCTTACAACAAAGGCTGCATTTGTGAATATTGGCTGTGCAGCCATTTGTTTCAGTGATGATGTGGGAAATCTAGGCAGCAGACAGTTTGATCTTAATGAAAACCAATGCGTCCAGGCTTCCTCCCCCTGCCTGATTGTGCGTCATCATACTGTCTGGTGTCTCCTTGCTGCCTGCTTCGCCTGCAAATGACTCGGTGGTCTCATATTCCACCTGCGCTGCCTTCCCTGAGCTCTAATAGCCTCTTGTGCTCCAATGCAAGTACGGCATCAGGCCTCATTACGAACACAAGGCCCTAATTGTAGAGAGTGTTCAGTCAGCGGGGCTCGCTCTGATAATGGAGCCGCCTGTTTATGGTATTTGAAGTGAACGTATGTAGTTAACCGTATGAAAGATGGTGTTTGTGTTGCTTTTGTTCCGACGTGTTCCCCTTCAGGATCAAAGCTCCAGCACGCAGAGTTAAACAAGGAGGCCTTTGAAGTGTCCCAAGATGGCCGAATAGGAGGCAGTGCGGCAGAGCGGTGGCAGCACAGGTGCACCGAGGTGAGGTTTAGTTCGCTGTTTAACAGCAGGTGCAATAAGGGCTGCGACACACTGCTGTCAGGTGCAACATCTCTCACTGCTGGGAGGGAGAAACAGCCCTGTTAACACGTTCATAACAGGAGCTGGTTGTAAAGTCAACAATCCCCTGATGAGACTTCAGCTCATTCACTTTTTATTTGGTTCTTAAAAAATGTTCCAAGACAGCCCAGGCTTATTGAAATCTTAACCTCACCTTCATCAGTGTCAGGTGTTTCCGCAGTTATTGATCTGATACTGATAGACAAAAAATAAAAACATTGTGAAAAATGTAAGTATATTTAAGACTCGTTAAGCATGAAGTGAAATACATCAAGTATTTTTTGTTTTGTTTGTTTTATTTTAATGATTATGGCTTATACAGTCGTCCTCAAATGTATTCCTACCCTCCCATTAAAGAAGTAAAAAAAAAAACAGCTGTCACTGAAATAAGCTGAAATTGACAGAAGTAATCCATCCATCCATCCATTATCTATACACCACTTAATCCTCACTAGGGGGGCTGGAGCCTATCCCAGCTGACTCAGGGTGAAGGCAGGGGACACCCTGGACAGGTCACCAGTCTATCACAGGGCTACACTTAGAGACAGACAACCAAGCACACTCACATTCACACCTACAGACAATTTAGAATCACCAATTAACCACAACATGTTCGTGGACGTTGTGGGAGGAAGCCGGAGAACCCGGAGAGAACCCACGCTGCACGGGGAGAACATGCAAACTCCACACAGAAAGATCCCGGGTGTCCTCACCAGAACGCCAACCGGTGACCTTCTTGCTGCGAGGCACGATGCTAACCACCGACCCACCTTGCAGCCCTAGATCAATGATACACAGTATTTATACTGTTTAAATAGTGATTTACTCCAACTCCAAATGAAATATTCAATTATTTTAGGATACAAAATTTGTGGTTTTTATGAGCTATAAGCCTTAATCATCAAAAGTAAGACCAAAAAGTTTCTAAAAAATTTCACTTTCTTGAATAACTGATGGAAAATAATGAACTTTATCACAATGTTCATATTATTTTACAGCAATATTCTATTCATTCACACTTTCAGAGCATTTGTGCCTGTTTGTGTTGGAGTCATAATAGAGACCAGCAATTCCTTTGAAATAAAGCATTGTCTGATCTTTTTAAGGCTTTTAGGGCGATTTATGCTCCTGTTGGGTAACTAACAGTAGAGAATGACAGGAAGGGCAGTGATATACAACAGTCCCAGCTGGATGTGAATCAGGGTTTTTGTGGTTCATGGTTCTTACTGTAACCAAAACAGAGCCTCAACAAGCAGCAGCTGCTCAAAACTGCTCACTCCAGGTTGTTTCGTAGGTATTTTAAATATCTATTGTACGGCTAAAAGAGGAAGTATGTTTCACTACCTCACAACACCAAAGCAAATATCAGGGAAGGCGAAAAGAAATCTTCAGTAAAACTGCTGCATTTTAGGGTTTTTTGACAAGACACACAAAGTAGACACACAGCGACACCAGCAGACTTTAAATGTGTTGTGGTTAATGTCACCTTGAAGACATTTAGAATGCTGAGTCTCTGATTGTACTCAGCTTGAGGCTGTACTGCTGTATGTAAAGTGTATTTTTCTTCCCACTTTAAATCCTCTGAGCCTCAAAACCTGCTGGCAGCTTAGAAAGGCAAGTTGACCTTTTAAAAAACAACCAGAATTAGAGGATCTATCAGAACCAGGCAATGTAAAAACAAAGCATCATCCGGTTTTCAACCTGCTAACAGTTCTTAACCCTGTTCAGGACTTTCATGTTGCCATACGTAGAAGGTCTTTTGAGGTTTCATTGGACCCCAAGAAAGAATATGTGCAAAATATTTGTTGGTATTTGTCACGATCCAGCCTCTAGGGTCAGCCGGATGTCACAAAAACCAGATGGAATTGGTTCAGGCAAAGTGGTCTATTGTTGAGCAACGTAAATGAGCATAACAGAACGGTGACAATACAAAAGAAACTGGTGGATGTTGCTACAAATCAAAGAACCAAACATAACCTACCGAAGGCTAACAGAGTATTGACGCTAGCAAACTAAACTCTTTAGTCAAACTTTAAATCTAATAGCAACATCCACATGTAACAAAAGAAGCTAAAACAAACTAGTGCCTCAAAACACACAATACGAAACACAAGACTCGAGTAACTTCTTCATGAAGTTGCACAGCTGCTAACGGGAGTCAGTCTTCACTAAGACTCTCATGAAACTCCCACACCGAGTTAGCAGCTGCCAACAGAAGTTACACAAAAGACACAAACCGAGAGGCACCAGGACAGACTGTTCAGACTAAATCCCAGCCAGCCCGCGACTGAAAGGTTGCTGGTTGCTTTTATAGCCAGGTGTGGTGATCACTGGGGTGGAGAAGGAGTGGTGGTGGTCCAATCAGATGTGACCAGAGGCGGGGAGGACTTCAGCTCCAGGTTAATTAGCTGAGATGACTGACAGCTGGTGTCCTGGAGCAGCTCTCAGCCACAGTGGACCTACACAGGTCATCTCCACACACATGGGTCACAAGTCCATATAACAAAACGGCACAAACACCATGGACAGCAACAGTGTTCATTACAGACTTTTATACTATTTTAACTAAATTTTCTGATAAGTAGATGCATTTTTGGTTCCAAATGCATGACAAATGTCCCTTTTTTTCTATTTAAAAAAAATCTTTAAAAGTAAAAAACAATACCTGTCACCTAACCCAAATGGCCTGGAGTCCAAAAGACCCCAAAAGTCCTGAATAGATCAAACTGATCATGTGTTACGTGCCTCTTTATTTGAAAAATAATCCTAATCTATGCTTAAAATTATGCTTTAAAAAAAATCAAACAAAAATTTACTTTATTATTATGTCTCATTTAAAATTTTGACAAAAATAAACCATTTCCATAAAAAAAATTCTGCCCTTCTCAGTGGAACCATGAAGCCATTAGTGACTCAACTGTGACCAACAGTCATGTGACATAAATTCAGGTACTATTGGGCTGAACTGCAGCCTGCAACGGCATCGAGCAGAGAGGAGACGAGGATTCAAACATGTAAGTATTAAACTAACCAAAATATGTAAAGTTACTTTTTTTCCCCAGTATTTGTAACACCTGTTGGCTTTTTATTTTAGCATTCTTTGTAAAATATTAAAAGAAAAATAACTTTTATTTAGCTTTTTATGATTTATGGCATTATTTTCTTAGTATATTTTATTTGGACTGTAGCCTGCATTATGCTGTTTAACTTCATGTTGGTGTCAGTGAACAGTTTGTCGTCATATTAGTGGTTGCATTCATTACTTTAACCGTGGAAAGAATCCTTTATCAGGGTTTTAGGGCCACCTGCAGGACAACAATTGAAAGAACAAGAAAGGATTTGATTCAGTAGACAATTCACTGGGGGGCACATTAACAGTCCACTGAGGTGGTTACATCAATAATATTGTTTCTAAGCGAGCTGTACCAACAACCTGTCACTAATTTGATTTTGATGCATAATGGCATTTAGCTACAAATTAGCAATTAAAATATTAATGTTATAAGACTGGGCGGCCTTGGTGGAGATGTACACTTTCTCTTATGTGAAAATGACATCATTTATGAACTGTAATGTATATGTATTCTATTCAGACATGTATTATTACACACCGAGCGGTGTTGCCTTTAAGGTGTGTATTCTTCTTCTATATCTGGTAACTAGTTGCTTAATTTAGTGCCACACACAAACACATGTCAATCCTGTTTACAGCACCCACACAGTAACGACCATTCAAGCTAATTATAAAGGGATTGAAATCTTTATTTAGCCTAATACAGCACAGTGCAACAGTTCACCTTAATCCAGTGTTAACACTGTGAACCCCGGGCCCAGTGTGACAGGTGACCATTAGCTCGATAGCATCATTGTGCTGCTCCCCCTCTCGTGACTGTCGCTACATCAAAACACACACCTGGGGGGGAAGAGAGTTTACAGCACACACAATCTATGATTCCACTTTTTGATAAATAAAACTGCATCGAATCTCTGAGAGGAGTAAAAAGTTGGATGAGGGTGTTGGTCGGTGGCAAGTGTTCAGTCGTGGTCTTAAAGGTGGAATGTGTCGTCTTCTCTCACAGGTAGCTCCCCCCTCGTCCTTCCGTCTTGTTTGTGTTTTTGGGTCCTCACGCGTTGTAGGACGAAGAGGAGACGTTTCCACCGAGGCCTGTCCAGTTGGTGTGGATGAAGTGACCGGGGTTGGACAGCAGCTCGTATGTGTGAGCTCCAAAGTAATCCCTCTGAGCCTGGAAAACAACACAGGTGTCACTTTCAAATAAGAATCAAACAAATGATTCATTTTAGTAAATCTAACCATTTTTTAACTCGCTGTTTTGTTTAACCAACAGATATTCAGAAGCCTAGCAGTGAGGTCAGCAGCAAAACATCACTGCAAGTGTGCCCTATATTTGACTTATTTCACTTCACCTTGATGCCAGGCAGCTCTTTCCAGCAGAAAACTGATGTGGTTATATTCAAGGTTTTGAAAGCCAGTCCATTGATTGTTCTACTGCTGCCTTGATCGATTAATTCACTTGAGTCATTATGTGACTTCAGACACAATAACAGACTAGCTGTTCCTCTGTTCTGTGAGGTGAGATTACTGCTTTAGGAGACTCTGACGACAGCGGTACAACGGCCTCTGTTCCCCGTCAGTAAAGGCTGTCTGATGGCAAGTGGTTGAAATATTTTGAATAAAGGGTACACTTCAACCAATACTGATTTATTTTTCTTTTTTAGGTGGCTAAAATACATTTTTGTCTGCTTTTTCCAAACAGTGGTGAAGCCGACTGTCATATGCTACTTTAAAGAAACTGTACTGTACGTTTAACAAAAGTATTGTTTGGAATCTGCTTGATTAACAATTAAAATTAGCAAATTATTTCAGCTTCATATTCTATAAAGACCCAAAACACGAGTCCAAGGGCAGATGAGTAGTTACAACCACTCACTTGACACCGTCAGGATCTTAAAGCCTCTTGATCCCAACGCAGCGCACACAGCTACATGTGATCTTTTTAATCCGATACCTTTCAGCGCTTGGCCATATGCTCGGCGGTTGTCTTACCTGGAGGAGGTTGGCAGGCAGCTTGTCGTGTCTGTAGCCGTCGTAGAAGGACAGAGCGGTGGTGAAGCAGGGCATGGGGATGCCGTGCTGGACTCCGGTGCTCACTGTTCTGCGCCACGACGCCTGAAACAAGAGAGTAAACTGAGTAACAGCTTTATGAAGTTTAAGTATAATTCGGTGTGAATGTGGTCATTAATGGTCATGGTGTCTTTTTATATCGCATCCAGAGGGCTGCACAGTTTGTAGTCACCAAGACCCAACTGGAGCTGATTCAGTCTTGTTCTGTGGTTGCAGGTGTCACATCTGTGGGCCTATATGTCAACTATACGTCTACCTGGTGAATCCAAGTCATCTGCTGTGTTTACATCACTGTAGAGAAGTCAGCCCAGCCCCTCCTGCCACCCCCCTCATCCCCACTCTCACCCCACTCTCTTTTTTTGGGGGGGGGGGGTTTGTTCCCACCATAGTTGACCGGTTGCTCACAGGGAATCCAAAGGCAGCTTTAGATTGCTGGGTTCTCTGTTCTTTGTTTAAAATTCATAAGGCCTTCACCTTACTCTGTGAGATGCTATGAGGTGACATATATTATATGAATTGGTTCTATATAAATAAAACTGAACTGAAAGTTGGAATTGTAAAGAGAAAAATGACACGTTGCTGCTTTTCAACTGTAGCTGCTCGATAGCTGGTGGGTCATCATGCTGTTTTCTCTACTTGGGTCTGCTTGGGTTCCATCAAGCCTGACAGTTTGGATTACATGGGAAAAAAAAGCTCCTGTATCCTTTCCTCAACAATACCATGTAGAGAAAAGTCCCCAGACTTTAGTTTGAAGACGACCTGCCAGGAAACAGCATCTCAGATTCCAAACAACTGTTGCTTCACTGCTTTTGTTTTCAACAAAGAGGAAATAACTTGTTTTGTGTCTTTGCCAATGTGTGTCTTGCAGGTTGCTGTTTGGCCACTTCCTCCTTCCTCATACCTGACAGTCTTGCACAGCGTCTCTAAAGAAATTGTCCAGCAGCAAGTTCTGCAGCTCGCCGTCCCTGTCAAAAGCCTCTTTGATTTTACCCAGGAACACACTGGTGAGGAGAGAGAGAGTAGTGTTAGCAAACTGGGTGTTGTATTTGATTTAGGTTATGCAACATCTTGACCAGATTACAGAAAGCAGACCAGTGTCACAATCATAATTTCCTCATTCGTCTCTCGATCTGAGTCCATATGAAGGGTCATTTTTTTCCCCATGCAGGTTTTTCACTCCAGGATTACAACACAGGCCAGTGACAATAAGATTTAATGACTTCTTTTATGGCCCGGCATTGAAGTGTTTTTTTCCAGACTTAAGGAAGACATCCTTCTTGATCTAAAGTCCCCAACAACAAAAACTTCTCCATTTTATTGATGCTTGCTCAAGAAGTTACAGTCTCACCACATTTTTCACCATCAGGGTTAAAGAACTTTGCACAAGGCAGCAGTGAAGCAAACTTGTGATATGAGGACACATGAGGTTAAACGTTACCTTCGGATGATGCAGCCTCCTCTCCACATCAGTGCGATCGCGCCATAGTTGAGCGTCCAGCCGAACTCTTTGGCCGCCTGTCGCAGCAGCATGAAGCCCTGAGCGTAGGAAATGATCTTGGAGGCATAGAGGGCCTGGAGAAATGAAAACGGATCTGTTTACACTGATATAATTCTATAATGTGAAATAAATGTAGGTGACGGAGCAATAAAAGGTTCATTTATATTTATAAATGAAGAGAAGGAGCTAAAAGTTGTTCCTGAGATCGTTTGCAGATGTTGGTGTTGGTAGTTGTAATCACCTCTGCACCATCTAATACTTTGGGATAACTCAAATTTCAAATAAAGTTTGGAATATTTAACATCTATGTTTTAAAAATGTTGAAGCATTTTTTTTAAAAATGCGGCTGCAAGTTCATACTAATTTCCAGTATCTAAAGTTTGTGTACATACTGACTAGTCTTGTTTGTGTAAAAAAACAAAAAAAACAACTAACAAACAAACAAAAAAAACCCTGTTTTACATTTAACATCAGCAAACTAAACCGACTGGTTGTCATAACAGGGATTGTCATGAGTAAACGGGATGTGTGGGATATGTTACCGGCAGAGTACATAAATTAAACAAATATTAAAACCTCTGTGACAAAATATACGTAGTAAATCCTCTGTGAAAGCAAAGTGCATCACAGTTACTAGGTAAATGTAAAACAAAGGACATTTATTGTATTGGTGTATTGGAGGCTGCAAGGTGGCTCGATGGTTAGCATCGTTGCCTCGCAGCAAGAAGGTTTGCATCCCGGTAAGGACACCTGGGATCTTTCTGCATGAAGTTTGCATGTTCTCCCCGTGCAGTGTGGGTTCTCTCTGGGTTCTCTGGTTTCCTCCCACACAGTCCAAAAACATGTTGAGGTTAATTGGTGATTCTAAATTGTCCGTAGATGTGAATGTGAGTGTGCTTGGTTGTCTGTCTCTAAGTGTAGCCCTGTGATGGACTGGTGACCTGTCCAGGGCGGTCCCTTCACCCTGAGTCAGCTGGGATAGACTCCAGACCCCTGCGACCCTAGTGAGGCTTAAGCGGTGTATAGATAATGGATGGATGGTCTGTATTGGTTTACAGTCATGGTCCCTTTTCAAATCGTGTCTCGAGGAGCTGTATTTGTATCTACAGTCACACTAACAGATTTTAATTTGAAAATGATTACCATTTCAGAAATAATCTTTGTCTATACCAACATGAGCCACATCACATCCCTGTTTACATACACTGGGCACGTGCTGGTGTAAAAACATTCTATAGAGGAGAAGAACTGATTTTTTATTGACGATGAGGCAGAGCTGCTAATGAAAGTAAGTAGCGCAGCCTTATGATTCTGTTGTCTTCCAGAAAAAGGGAATGCACTGAGGTGTGATGAATCAGCAAAGTGCACATGCTGCTAATAAGAGCGAGCGAGGGTACCTGCATCACTTCATTTCAGAAATCATAGTTCCTGGCTATCCAGATAACACAATCCTGGAGTTTTCAAGCTAAGCTAATCTAAGGTCTAAAAACACTGTAGTAATGTAAAAAAAAATGTATTTGTGTGGAAACAAATTAAATAGTGGGCTCTTCACTTATTATTTCTATGTTAAAAATCTATTTGTTCATTTGCGGTTTATGCAGGTAGTCGTCTCTGCGTTTAGACATTGGAGTGATTTCTGACTCATTCATCATGGTTGTGTGAAGGCTGCATAGGAGGTCACAAGTCTGAGGCCTTCAATAAGACTTACTGCTTTTTTTACTTTGGAAGGTTTGACTTATCATCTCCTATATGTTGTAGAAAACTGATAACAGGGTTAAGCTCACAAACTATGTACATACTATATAATATAAAGGAATTCCTGACTGTTTGTTCACTATGAAAGCTGTGACATTTGTGCTTCTCCCTTGAGAATCTGGATGAACTGTTATTCTCTATATTGTATACAACGATCCAGCAAAGTGTGTTTTTTAGGTCCAACAATTATAGCTATTTTCCACAACAGCAGCCAAACAAATATTTACCATAATTTAGTCCCTCAATGTCTCCTCTCATGAGATGTTTGGGCTTTTAGGCTTTCCTACATACTCAGTATATACATGTGTGTTGTACCTTTCTAATGTCCTCCAGGAAGGCAGCCTTGTCGCCGCTGAATTTGACCCCCTGTGGGCCCGAGAGGCTGCGGCTGGCCTCCACTCGCTCATCCTTCAGAGAGGACAGGCATCTGGCAAAGACAGCCTCCCCTGAGACACAGACAGCGAAGGCGGGAGGAAACAGAAGAGCAGAGACGGACAGAGTTAGCTCTCTGCACACAACAGAGAAAACCCAAGAGCCAGACAGAAATCTAAACAGGGATGATTCAGCTTCACTGCAGCGCCTCACAACAAGTTACTACATAGGATTTGTAAAACAATGCCGACAACAGCATGCTATCATTAAGACGATATCCAAGGATCAGCATGACTCAGCAGGTGTGTCGGCTCCACGTTAGAAAAACAAACTCAGGGCTTGCCAGATTAAAAATGGTCAGTCAGTTTTCACTGTACCAAGATGTGAGGGGAAGAAAAAAAACCTGTTGGGTCAGCATGACTTGCCAAAATCTGCACTGCTAGGTGATGCAATGATTTGAGAGGAACTGTATAGTGAGCTGTCCTGGCCAGGCATGTTTTCCTCGCTGGATCAGAAATCCACCCATTGTGCTGCTCCACGCTGACTGGCTCACACAATGAAGCCTTTTGTGCTGCACCCATCTCTATCACAAGAGGATCTGCAGCAACGACAGCGACTGAGCAAACTATTTGAAAATAGTCTTGATAATAGTTGCAAGAAGACGAGTCAGTTTGTGCCACAAATTAGCTCCATTAAACTTTCTATGCGTCTTTAATTTTAGACAACCGCTCCACTGACGTACTGTGACATCTGTGTGAATATGAATCTCGCTTCTTTACGCGGTTGTTTATGAAACAGTCACGGCAAAGGCCAAAGCCAAATCCCCCTTATGTCACTTGAGACGAGCCGGCCATTAGAAAAGCCTTCAATCTTCTTACAGACAGCCACATATTGATCACGTACTCTACAAGAGGCTCACTGGCCACGCTGCCTCTGAACCAGCTGACAACACTAAACACTAGTCCAACAAATCTGACCCCTCTGCTCTTTAATGTGTTGACACAGTGTTGAAATCTCAACAGGTGTGATGTAACGGCTTTTTGCCAAGTTATCACGGCGTTTACTGAAAGCAGCCGACACTGGAGGAAAGAGAGAAGGAAACGAGATACTTGCTTGTCTACGAAAGACGTCTTTTCTTCCTCTTACCGATCAGAGTGACAGGTGTGCCGTACTCCAGGGCTGAAATGGCCGTCCACTTCCCTGTTCCCTTCTGTCCGGCGCTGTCTCGGATCTTGGGCAGCAGATGTGTTCCATCAGAGTCCTTGTACTTGAGGATGTTGGCTGTGATCTCAATCAGGAAGGAGTCCAGCTCTGTTTTGTTCCAGCTGTCAAAAGCCTGTGTTCAAAGAATACAAAGCGATGAAGATGGTGGGGTTTTTTTCACAACACAGAAAAATACTTGCTCACAGAGGTACAACAAGCTCACCTTTGCCATCTCATCATGGTCCATACCCAGAACATCCTTCATCAGGTGATAGGCCTCACAGATCAGCTGCATGTCTCCGTACTCGATACCGTTATGGACCATTTTCACAAAATGACCCGCGCCCTCGTCTCCAACCTGCCAGAGCAGCGCACAGTATTTGTCAGGCGGCATCTCATGATATTAGCTACTACGTGTTCAATGATTTGCAGTAAGGATCCACTCCACTCACCCAGTCACAGCAAGGCTCTCCTGTTCCCACCTTGGCAGCGATGCTCTGGAAGATGTCTTTTATGTGTGGCCTTAAAGACAACACCAAGCGTTATCAATCATTAAATGGCTCGTGCAAATGGAGTTTGGTAGCTTTTACACATCCTAAGTCTAACATACATCCAAAATTATCAGTCGTAAGTGTGTTTGATGTGAAGCAGCACAGTTTGTCTGAACCTACCAGGCCTCTTTATGTCCACCCGGCATCAGTGAGGGTCCATAACGTGCACCCTCCTCTCCACCACTGACTCCGCTGCCAACAAACAGCAAGCCCTTCTCTTTCAGACTCTTACACCGCCGCTAAAAGACACAGAGGAAAGAACAGAAAGCACTATGAGGATTTGCTCGATGAAGAATAAAGAGCTCCTGCTAAACAGGAATTTTTATCCACTTACTGTTGTGTCTCTGTATTCAGAGTTGCCCCCATCGATGATGATATCTCCGGCTTCCAGGAGGGGAACCTGAGAGTAAAAACAAATGCAGAACAAAACCAATAAATCCAACTAGAAAGCACGCAGTTTTCCACGATCGATTTGAACACGGATCAGAGTAAACTACCCACCAGTTTGTCGATAAAGTCATCGACAGCCTGTCCAGCCTTGACCAGCAGGATGATCCTCCTGGGCTTCTTCAGCTTGGCCACCATGTCCTCCAGGGACTCGGCTCCGATCACTTTGGAGCCCTTGGCCTCGTTCTTCAGGAAGTCGTGCACCTTGGACACGGTGCGGTTGTAGGCGCAGACCTGTGGGAGCGATGTTGTGATGAGCGAGTGCAACAAATCAAATTTTACCAGGAGTTGTGGAAATGAACACAGAGGTCTTACCACGAAGCCGTGGTCGTTCATGTTCATGATGAGGTTCTGGCCCATGACAGCCAGACCGATGAGTGCGATGTCTGCTCTGTGAAAACAGCAATAATCACATTAAGTGTAATGAGCATCTGGATGGATACAAACAGGAAATCCTGCTGCATCCTCTTGTTTTGATCCCATATGTTTTTATGAACAGCAAAATGAAATTTCACTTTGCAGCTCCCTGTCATATCCCAGAATCCATAGCGACCACTCTGCTGGTTTTCCCGTCCAGTTTTCACCTTAAATTTGATTTCTACTACACACTGAAGCTGCTCGGCTGAATAACAAGCCCACAGCTCCGTTCGTCTCCCCGTTAAAGAAGATTACTGCCAGTAAAAGACATAAACTCTGTGACGGTTTAACCCCGAGCATCAGCTACAAGCCTTTCACCTACCCGGTTGTTTAAATAAGTAAAAACTCGTTAGAGAACTTACTCAGCCATTGTGTTCTGCGGGTAAAGTAACTGTTCAGGTAACAGGGTCCAAATGACAGTGGAGCTCACACGCCAGTCCTTCCCTTCGGAGTTCTTCCTCACTCGCTTTTTACTTCCTCGTTCTCATCTCAACTTGACGGAGCAGATTACTACGCCCACGTACAGTTTCCACCAATCACAGGCCGTCCGTCGCACTGGAGACACAACGGTCGCGATTTGTGATTGGTCCAAAATCCTGAGCAGAGGTATCGGCTCTCCTATTGGCTTTTCCACCCGTCATTCATCTACGTCAGCGCACACCCACAAGAAGACATGGCGCATGTGGGAGGACACATTTCAGTAGTTACAAAATACTTTTAGTTACAAAATACTGCTGCTTTGTACGTCTACTGCTGAATAGTTTGATTAGAAATATTGTACTTAACTACATTTAGGTGTCAGATATACTTAGTGGGGACTTCTCAGGTGAATAGTAATGCCATTAATAATAATGCATTGCACAAGATTTCACCAACTTTTTGGTTTGAATATTATAGAGGTAAAAAAAAAAATCAGTTTATCAGCTAATCTACTTAACTAAAATAATGGAAAATAACCATCTCATAAAAATACAGCATTTAAAAAAATATAAATAAAACATAATTTCTGGCCTTAGTTTTACATAAGAGCATTTGTATATTTTGCTTCTTATTGAAGTTTATTTACACATAATAATAATAACAATAATAATAATAATAATAATAATAATAATAATAAA